GATTTATTTGGAGAGACTAAACACTAGAAATACTGTCATGTTTAATCATGTCTTATCTTCGATCTTATTTGGGGTCTTATACATACATATGTGTATGTGTGTAATTATATATATATATATATATATAATATATATATATATATATATATATATATAATGTAGTAGCAGGTTGTGTGAGCCTGTTTATAGGTCTATTTGCTCGTATGTATGTATCTTGTGTGTGTGTGTGTGTGTGTGTGGTTGTGTGTGTGTGTTTGTGTGTGGTGTGTTGTGTGTGTGTTGTGTGTGTGTGTGTGTGTGTGTGTGTGTGTGTGTGTGTGTGTGTGTGTGACAGAGAGAGAGAGAGAGAGAGACAAACAGACAGACACAGAGAGACAAAGAGAGAGTGAGAGAAAGAAAGAAAGAGACGACACAGAGACAGGCAGACAGAGAAAAAGAGAAATAAAAAAGAGACAGAGAAAGAAAGAAAGAAAGGAGACAGACAGACAGAGAAAAAGAGAAAAAAGAAGGAGACAGAGACAGACAGACAGGCAGACAGAGAAAGCAAGAGAAAGAGAGAGAGTGAGAATATTCGAATATGTACCTGTATGTATCATTTTCACTACCTCTCCTCTACATGCGCTGAAATTTCTGCGTATATTTCTGCAAGATATATTTCTTTTTTTTTTGCAGAGACAACATGATGTACAGATTTAGGTCACATGAATTAGAGTAATGTAGGTGTGTCCTGTGTTGATTATATGATGTATATTATTTCTATAAAATCTTATAAACTTTTTGTACATTTCTAGATGTTTCAGTTTACCCTTATTCTGATTACGTTTTCTGTTGTTGTGAGCAAAGATACGAAATCGGATATATATGCAAATTAATAGGAAATGAAGAAATATATTTGTGGTTTTGCTTTGTGTGGGTGTGGGAGTATGTGTGTGTGTGTATGTATATGTAAATGTATAGATAGATAGAATGAAATATTGTTAGATAGATTGATATATATATATAGATAGATAGATAGAATGAGAAATAGATAGATAGATAGAATGAGAAATGTATAGATAGACAGAATGAGTAATAGATAGGTAGATAGAAGAAATAGATTGATAGAATGAGAAATAGATAGATAGAATG